GATGACATTTGCTCTAGGCATCTGACATGATGAACTGACATTCCATAGTTTGCCATCAGACTGGATTACCAGTGAAATATCATCATCATCATCATCATCATCATCACAAAAACCATCACAACCACCACCATCATCATCATCATCATCATCATCATCATCATCATCATCATCATCAGCATCATCATCATCAATATTCCAGCAGTATCACAGCAGGGGACACCAGAAACAGGCTTCACATCATCATCATCATCATCGTATCCTAGTGGTTAAAGCGTTTGCTCAGATTGTTTCACGCCACTTTTAGCAATATTCCAGCAGTATCACAGCAGGGGGACACCAGAAACGGGCTTCACACATTGTACCCATGTGGGAAATCGAACCCGGGTCTTCGGCGTTACGTTGTGAACGCTTTAACCACTGGGCTACCCTATCCCCCCCCCATATCATCTGGGAACTCACTGGTTCATACTCCATAACACATGTAGTGACCCAACTCACCGAATTCCTCAACACGTCAGAATGCAGCATGAAATGTCTCAAGAAGAATAAAATCTGCAATTTTTGATGACAAAACCTTTTTTATGCCAAAACACTGTTCGATACTTTTAGGAAGACCATAAAAACTCCCAACATAAAGCAGAACGTGAAAGTCATTTTTACAATCACGTGCTATATGTGCTTGATAAGGCAACCATTATTTTGGAGGTGTTTTAATCAATCCCTCAAATAAAACCCAAATCCAATTTCAGAAATCTAAACATTTGGATTACAATTCCGACAAAACCTTTGATGCAGGCTGCCTTGTGAGGTGTCAGAGCTAAGAAGGGAAGTTTGATATCAGCAGGGACGGAAAAATGGTTCAGGGGCATGATTGATATATCCATGAATCATTCATTGTGTACCTAATCCTAAGCTTCCAAGATGCAGACGTTTTGCATACATCAATGTACAGTTCTGGCAAGAAAAGGGATTAAGCTAAAAAGTGTTTTTGAAAGATTGAAGCATGGCCCTATATTGGTAGCAACGACCTTCAGGAGAAGTGAGGCCATTTTGGATTAGTTGTGACTTTGATGATGTGAAATGACAGTCCCGTAGGTCCTGGTAACTGAATGTTGTTTTCAGGCTGTGGTATGTAATATTCCAGTGTAATCAAAATGACCTGTAATTCATCATCTGAAACTGGCTTCCACAGGATACACTGCTTGGGTGACATCAAGAAATATGTCCTAGGAGATAACTAGAGAAGATCATGCAGTATAACCTGGGAGATAACAGAGAGAAGATCATGCAGTATAACCTGGGAGATAACTAGAGAAGATCATGCAATATATCCTGGGAGATAACAGAGAGAAGATCATGCAACATCTCCTGGGAGATAACAAGAGAAGATCATGCAATATCTCCTGGGAGATAACAGAGAGAAGATCATGCAACATCTCCTGGGAGATAACAGAGAGAAGATCATGCAACATCTCCTGGGAGATAACAAGAGAAGATCATGCAATATCTCCTGGGAGATAACAGAGAGAAGATCATGCAATATCTCTCCCTGGGAGATAACAGAGAGAAGATCATGCAATATCTCCTGGGAGATAACAAGAGAAGATCATGCAACATCTCCTGGGAGATAACAGAGAGAAGATCATGCAACATCTCCTGGGAGATAACAAGAGAAGATCATGCAATATCTCCTGGGAGATAACAGAGAAGATCATGCAATATCTCCTGGGAGATAACAAGAGAAGATCATGCAACATCTCCTGGGAGATAACAAGAGAAGATCATGCAACATCTCCTGGGAGATAACAAGAGAAGATCATACAATATCTCCTTGGAGATAACAAGAAAAGATCATGCAACATCTCCTGGGAGATAACAGAGAGAAGATCATGCAATATCTCCTGGGAGATAACAGAGAGAAGATCATGCAACATCTCCTGGGAGATAACAGAGAGAAGATCATGCAACATCTCCTGGAGATAACAAGAGAAGATCATGCAATATCTCCTTGGCATTAGTTTAAAGAATATCTAGCAATATCTCCTCAGAAATAACAATAGCTCAATATCTGTGAGATCTCAGGGGATCAAGCAATATATCATTGGAGATAACAGAGAGAAGATGTCAAATATAACAACATTAGTTGATAACAGTTCATACAAAACATCTATAAAACATCTATGGGTGAATTCTCTGTCCGTATGTCTTCACTTTAACTCAAGAGGCATCTACAAGGTCAATACTGTAACCATCCTTCCTTGTATTCCGTTTACTAAGATCCTTCATGGAGGCAGAACCTAACAAATTCACATCTAAAATAAGACTGACAAATCTCATTTAAATAACAGATTCCTAATTAATCCAGGCTTCACTCAACACTAAATGACCACCTACATATCACATGAATATTTTTTGTGGTGACCCCACAACATGTATGACTGATGCAGTCGTCCCAGCATATGTCAACAAAACTGTTGCCGCATTCTGTAAAGATTCTCCTCAGGGACAGTGTAGCCTGTTGTGACAATCTACCAGTCTGGCACCTTGTGACATGATCTCGGAACTCTTCAGTCAGGGAGGCAGAAACTCAACATGTTCACCGAGCTTTTCAGTCAGTGAGACAGAAATTTCAACTACAGAGTTCTGGAAGAGACAGGTCTTTTAGAAGCTTGGCCAAGAGCATGACTAATTCAAATTGTAATGAAATTATCACTCGGTCTTTGGGGGCAGGGTGCCAAGCCCGAGCATGTCGACGAGTGCTGAAACAGTTCTACCAACTTTGTCAAATCCTACGGGAATCTGCTCACAACATTTACTAAAGAATAACTTGCCGATATGTGACAGTGAGTACGAAATTAGAGCTGGAAAAATAAAAAGGTATTTGTAGCTCATTTGCTGTGCTCATCTCCAGAAGAGTGAGTGAGTTTTCATTTTCAGCAATATTCCAGCAACATCATGGCGGGGGACACAACAAAAGTGCTTCACACGTTGTGCCCTTCAAACCCTTTTCTTCGCGTGAGAAGAGAACACATGAACCACTAGACTACCCCACCGCCAATCAGAGGAAGAGAGGTCTTTTGACAGGTCTATGAACGTCTAAGGGATGGTTTAGCAAGGCACCCACCGTGATATTGCTGGAATATTGCTAAAAGCGGGGTAAAACCATACTCAGTCAGTCAGTCAGTTTAGCAAGGCATGAGTGATTGAGTGAGGTTAGTTTTATGCCGCTTTCAGCAATATTCCAGCAATATCATGGTGAGGGACACCAGAAATGGGCTTCACACATTGTACCCATGTGGGGAATGGAAACCAGGTCTTCAGCGTGACGAGCAAACGCTTTAACTACTAAGCTTCCCCACGCCCAGCAAGGCATAAAATGACCAACCTTTCAGCAGTACCAACACAGAGTTCAGAGGAACTGTGTCGTACCACAAGACAGAATGGTTGCAATACAATACACACAGGACAACCAAACTCAAAATTACTGCAAATTGTCCTTTTGGAAGAACTGTCAATAATTAGTAGTTTCAAGCAGGGACAAGGAGGTGACAGTTTGACATCAGGATGCAGAACAAATATCCATCCTAATAATAATAATAACACCAGCAACAACAGCAACAATAATGACCATTATTTAATAACTGTGGAGCACAGTGGTGTAGTGGTTAGCATGCTGGCCTCTCACACCAAAGGCCCGGGTTTGAATCCCGGTGGAGACACCAAAATTTGTCACCTGGGTCTCATACTGTGTTGTGTCCCTGGCAAGGCACTTCGTCCACATTGCACTCAGTCCACCCAGCTGTTCATAATGGGAACCTGAGAAGCGGATGTACAGACCTATATGGTCACGCGAAGTGCTTAAGTAGCGGCTTTGAAAGTACAATTCCGTCAGGGTAATAATGTAACGCCAGAGAACAGCATCATGTTGAATTCTAGGCGTAAAAATTATTATTATTATTATAAATCTACAAATATCAAATGGTGTTAGTTTTTGCTCAAGATATGAGCACTACCCTCAGTTTCAGTAAAGTATAACTTGAAAAAAAAGAAGAAAAAAATGGATAAAAATATACATCCCAAATCATCAAAAGGTATCAGTTCACCACTAACCATATTTGCAAACAATCAACCATTTAGGATGACTTCCAGAAACTTCTACCATACATTAATAATTCTACCATCATTTTGGAAGATACTCAATTTTTGTCCATCGAATATATAATGAACCTTGACTTACAATAGGTAAACCCTTTTCCAGAGGGTTAATTCAATTCATTTAGAATCAGAATTGATCTCAAACGCTAATACCATTCACATTCAAGAGCCATTGTGAATCCTGTTTCACATCAGCTCCATATCATTCACAATACAGGGCAGTGAGGTAGGTAGCCTAATGGTTAAAGCGTCTGCTCGTCATGATGAAGACCTGTGTTCGATTCCCACATGTTACAACGTGTGAAGCACATTTTTGGTGTCCTATGTAGTGATATTGCTGGAATATTGCTGGAATATTGCTCAAAGTGGTGTAAAACCATACTCACTCACTCACAGAAGACAGGGTCATCATAGTATTCTTCAATGTCACTTGGAGGGAGGGAGCTTTTACGCCACTTTTAGCAATATTCCAGCAATATCCCAGCAATATCACCAGCAATAACTGTGCCCACACTATCACGACATCACGACGGGGGACACCAGAACTGTGCTTCACACATTGTACCCATGTGGGGAATGGAACCCAGATTTCAACGTGATGAGCAAACACTTTAACCACAAGGCTATCCCACTGCCCCAGTCACATGGAAATGATCAGAATCCAGCAGACTTCACAAGAAACTACATCATTCACTGATGCAGACCTGTTCCTGTCATCTCCACCATTCATGCTGAGACGTGAGGAAATGGATGGAAACTCAATGACATCAAAGGAAATTGACCAGACCCCGAGGCAAGAGACCATGTTGTATATAAAACACGTGATACAAAAATAGGTCGCTTACCTGATAAAGAAATTATTCACAGTCAATGACACAGCCACTGGACACCTGAAGATAAACAGAAACAAACTTAATTCCAACATTCTTAGTAAAGCTATACATGTGTAAATCTTCAATATGGTATTTTGAAGAAGATGAAGATTTTTACACTCTGCATGTTACTTCTTGCCCTTTTAAATTAAGGGAACACACTGATGAAATGGAAATGAGATGCTGGAACTGAGAAGGGGATGAGAATTGGATGCTAGAAATAGAAGGTCATAAACGGGATGCTGGAATAGACAAAGTGATGATATCAAGATGCTAAAACAGACATGGTGAGAAAAATGAGATGGTATAACAGACAAGGTGATGAGACAGACAAGGTGATGAAAATGAGATGGTATAACAGACAAGGTGATGAAAATGAGATGGTATAACAGACAAGGTGATGAAAATGAGATGGTATAACAGACAAGGTGATGAAAATGAGATGGTATAACAGACAAGGTGATGAAAATGAGATGGTATAACAGACAAGGTGATGAAAATGAGATGGTATAACAGACAAGGTGATGAAAATGAAAATACCTATGATGGTATAACAGACAAGGTGATGAAAATGAGATGGTATAACAGACAAGGTGACAAAATGAGATGGTATAACAGATGAAAAATGAGATGGTATAACAGACAAGGTGATGAAAATGAGATGAGATGACAAGGTGATAACAGATGGTAAGGTGATGAAAATGAGATGGTATAACAGACAAGGTGATGAAAATGAGATGGATGAAAATGATAACAGACAAGGTGATGAAAATGAGATGGTATAACAGACAAGGTGATGAAATGATGGTATGAACAGAGAAGGTGATGAAAATGAGATGGTATAACAGACAAGGTGATGAAAATGAGATAGTATAACAGATGAAAATGGTATAACAGACAAGGTGATGAAAATGAGATGGTATAACAGACAAGGTGATGAAAATGAGATGGTATAACATACAAGGTGATGAAAATGGGATGGTATAACAGACAAGGCAATGAAAATGAGATGGTATAACAGACAAGGTGATGAAAATGAGATGATATAACAGACAAGGTAATGAAAATGAGATGGTATAACAGACAAGGCAATGAAAATGAGATGGTATAACAGACAATGTGATGAAAGATGAAATGGATAGAATAACAGATAATGTAATGAAAATGAGATGGTATTAGTTTTCAATGAAAATTGTACATCTCTCAACACAGGGCATTGTACAAAATCTACTGTCAAAACGATATCTCCTAGGAGATATCATATGATCTCACACAAGCGATATCTCCTGTGGAACACAGTTTTGGATGATAAAATCTCATATTCGTGGAACAATCTAACTTTCACAGAACAACCTGACATTCACAGAACAATCTCACATTCTCCCACAAGCCCTTTGGCACCACAAGGTGGAAAGCCTGTCGTAACACGACACAGGGGCCCAAACAGGATGACAACCTATTATAGTCATCATTTTGCATTTTATTGGAAACCCCACACATACTTTGTGCTTTGGCAATAAATCCCTCTTGAAGAACAAAAGACGACATCATGGGTTCTATTTTCTGTTCTATCCTTGTGTGATTAGTCCTCCTGATATGACAGAGTATTGACTTTAAGTCTCTGATGCGGCAATTATCATCTCATGATCCAAACATTCAAAATCCCTGGAGAGTTTAACCCCTAAAATCCACAATACCTCTCTACAGCTACCTAAACAAAGTATTACTTGCAATAGAAACCCACAGAGAATAATTGCTAAATTTCTATTTAGACAGGAATTAGATATCGACGAAACTTTCTTGGATCAGATTCTGAACGTTGACAATATCAAAACTATTTTTCAAACCTTAAAGGCATCAAACTGATTTCTTGTTTAAGGAGAACTTGAAATGAACTGCATAAAATGTCTTGTACATTCATATTTGAAAGCCAGTTTCAAAGTTTTTACATGAATTTGATCTATTTTGTCTGTTGATATCTTGTTACAAGCAGAGTGTATAAATGCGAAAATGCTCAAATTTACAAAACATGTTAAGACAACAAACAATTATTCTGCAGGAAATCTGATTATACTGATATTCCTAAGATCATGTTTTGACTCGAAATAACAATCATATGACACTGAGAAATTAATTTTTTAACAGATCTTCCATCATCACAGATTAACAAATTTCAGGACAGTAACTTGTTACTGATGTATACTGGATTGTGTTATAACCTGGTCATTTATCATGATCAGATACATATGCAAATATTGTCACTGGTCACAGTGGAAACTAAACTAACATACACATACTTAGTGGAAACTAAAGTGACCATGAACATACACATACTTTGGTTTAGTCTCCAATGCAAACCAGGTATCAGACCATGTTTTGAATATGGTTCTGATCATGATACCGCTCATGGGGCTACAATACTTTGACTAATAGACTGAGACTTGGTTTTGACACTGTCATTGTATCAAAATTCCTAGAACAATATCACTGAAGGATAATTTACAGACTGACACAATATAGCTGGAATATTGCAAAACAAACAAAAACGAAATATCACTGAAAGTGATTCAAACACTGAAAGTGATTCAAACATGCAAACCAACCAACCAATCATTAATTATTTGAAGACACTTCAATAGATACTATTAAAAAAAGAAGATAAATATTACCTGCTATTTAATATGCCTAAAGTTAATCTTTCACGGCCAGTGAGATTGATATTATGACCAACAAGTCACTGTGACCACTTAATTCATCCATTGACCACTTAAGACCAGCACAGGTTGCTTGGAATCAGTTCAAACCCAGATCAAATTATGCATTCATATATTGCAAGACCAGACAAAAGACAACATTACGTCATTTTCAAAATGGCTGTCATATCAAGAGTTTAAATCCAGAATCAAATTATGCATTCATATATTGCAAGACCAGACAAAAGACAGCATTACGTCATTTTCAAAATGGCTGCCATATCAAGAGTTCAAACCCAGAATCAAATTATGCATTCATATATTGCAAGACCAGACAAAAGACAACATTACGTCATTTTCAAAATGGCTGCCATATCAAGAGTTCAAACCCAGAATCAAATTATGCATTCATATATTGCAAGACCAGACAAAAGACAACATTACGTCATTTTCAAAATGGCTGCCATATCAAGAGTTCAAACCTAGAATCAAATTATGCATTCATATATTGCAAGACCAGACAAAAGACAACATTACGTCATTTTCAAAATGGCTGCCATATCAAGAGTTCAAACCCAGAATCAAATTATGCATTCATATATTGCAAGACCAGACAAAAGACAACATTACGTCATTTTCAAAATGGCTGCCATATCAAGAGTTCAAACCCAGAATCAAATTATGCATTCATATATTGCAAGACCAGACAAAAGACAACATATATATGCCATATTTCCTGTATATAAAACTGCACAATGATAAATTCATGAACAGACAGTAGAGAGCCAATAAGATACCCAAACCAACACAAACAAGTAAGGAACAATCCTGAGATCCCCTTATACAAAGAGTGGTGTATATTGTGGCATAATTCAGACAAATGGGGTTACTTTGTGGTCATCCATAATCTGTAGCATCTCCAATGTGCAGACAACATAAGCTGATTATGTGAAGCCAGCATCCAAAGACGGTACGGAAGGTTTTAGACTTTTCCACATCCCCCATTTGTTACCACATCCCAGAAAAAAACAATAATGTGACAACTACCCATGAAGTAACAACCTTAGAACAATTCTAATCTTCTTCGGCAGATGAAGATGGCGACTAAGTATAATAATGTTGACTTTTTACGCAGATACACGCTCATGTTCCCTCAGTTGGACTCAGCTGATTTTGATGGATGTGCACTGGTTCAAAATCACCCAATTTGGATTCGGGAAATGTTTGGAAAGGATGAGGTTGGATAAAGACATTTTTTGTCCATTGGAAATGTGAATTTTAAAATTACAGAAAACATTGAAACATAGGGATGAGAATCAAACATGGCAGAGAACTTGAAGTTTTTTTCTTATTTAAACTTGTCTTGGGCTTCTGACATGATCAATTAAATAACTATGGTGAAAAAGGATGAAATGGATGATTTCTCAAACTGTAAATGGGAATTTAACTATGACCAGATCCTTGATTTTTTAAACATAAGATTGTATAGTTAATATCTACACATCCTAGGAATGTGAGTGAGTGAGTTTAGTTTTACGCTGCACTCAGCAATATTCCAGCTATATGGCAACGGTCTGTAAATAATCGAGTTTGGACCAGACAATCCAGTGATCAACAGTATGAGCATCAATCTGTGCAATTGGAAACCGATGGCATGTGTCAACCAAGTCAGCGAGGCTGAGCGAGCCTGACCACCCGATCCCGTTAGTCTCCTCTTACGACAAGCATGGGTTACTGAAGGTTTGTTCTAACCCGGACGTTCACGGGTACACATCCTAGGAAGATTAGCTTGGGTCAAAACCTACTCAAGGTCAAACATTAGTTCTACCTTTTTGACACATATAGCTTTAACATTTTAACATGTTGAAATGATTTTAAACAAAGTGTTTAATGTACATTTGATAACCCATTCAATTCCATAAAATCGCATTTCATTAATTATTAATGAAATTATTTTGCATCCAGTATATAAACCTGATATTGTGGGTAATTGAAACTGTCTATTCTGTGTGATTTACCATCCCCACAACCCACATCGGCAATGTCAATGTCAACGATTCATCAAGAAATCAGTACGATACTGAATATCATCTTCATGGTATATGATCTTACTGAAGATTAGTCATAACTGAATAAATTCTATAACATATATCACCTTCCTGATCAGCACTTGGTCAAGGAATGTCCCCAAATTGATAGAAAAACCAATAAATCATCTATTTTCAGAAGCGTAAATTCGTGGGAAAATGGAATTTTTTGGATCAGTTGCAGTCAGTCAATAGATAGCATTGGCATCTCTTCCAGTCAGTTCCTGTGTGGTATATT